TCTAATGACTAGATTTTCTGCAAATAAACAAAACCGATTTTAAAGGCCTGTTTATATTTATTCGTGTTGCTATGGCAACAGCACATACGTCAGCTTAACCATCCAAAAACCAAAGTTTCTGTTGTTAACTGGATTGCCACCATTTTTGGCAATTGAGGGATCAAGGGTTTTAGAGAGAACAGTGAATGAAACACAGGTATCAAAAACTGTGTTCAGCCACCTTAACCTCAGTTTGACAACCCCAGTGTGATTTCTTTTGTTTTGGTCCCACAAGCCTCTTAGCCATGGTAGAATATCATAACAGCCCTTTTTAACTTGGAAAATATTTATACTTTCCATTTGTAGTGGTGGGACAATTTCACACCTTCACTCCTTCACTCCTTCACTCCTTCACTCCTTCACTTCCTGGTAGAAGTTTCTAAGTTGCATTAATCACCTTTATTTGATAACTATCAACGGGTTGTCACAAGAAGTATACTTGCATTAAAAAGTTGCATGACAGATTTCTACGTACAATCATGTTTGTTCAATGGTCCATTTGTGTTTGGTAGTCAACTAGCTGTACGTAGTGTTCTCCATTTGTAGATTGTTGATTCAAACTTAAATATGTCGTTGAAGAAACGCAAAAGTTCATGTCCATTTGCAAGTGCGAAGGAAGCACCACAGTGGAAACAGTCGGGGGGAAAAGGTTTCAAAAACATTTCATCAGCATTGGGCTGATGCATTAGCCGCTAGTGACAAAGTTTCCTGCTTCAAGCAGGAGAAGTTGCTTGCACTGGATGAGGAGGACCTTTGACATTTTTTAAGCATTACTTCATTGGCTGTTTTATCATTCAAAACAGTACTGTAACACTAGCATCTCAACTCAATTGGTATCTTGCGGGTTTCCTTCATGTTGTTTATGAGTACACTCTTTTGTTGTTTATGGCATCTCTAAGCTAAGGCAAAAGGAAGAAACAGAAGCGTAAATTGTTTCTTACTGACCTGGGCACACAAGCGGTGGAATTCAGATCTCTCAAAGGATATTTTCCACCAGAGGCAACATTTGAGATTCCTTTGCAACTGATACAAGCTCTATTGTCAAAGTAATGAGTCTTCACTTTATCAATCAATGCATCATTATTTTCACACGTTTTGTGTAATGATTTTATTATTTCTGTGATAGCTGTTTCACCATACAGTCAAACCTGTATTAAGCGGACATCCTCGGGACCCTTGCTAGTGTTCACTTAATACAGGATGTCCACTGAAACCAGGTTCCCTAAGTATTCGTTTTAAAAGGGTCATACATGTAGTAATGTTCCTCATTAAAAAGGCCTTGAAAGGGTCAAATACCATTCCTGTAAACATACAATCATTTGAGGAAGGAAGGATTTATTTTGTAATGGTTTTACAGACTTGTCTGTAGGTACAAATACAAATTTCCTGTTTGCCAGACAGATGTTTTGTTTGTGAGGTCACATATTAAATTTGATCGGTTTTTTTGTTGTTGTTGAAACAGAGATGGTATTTGCTGTTTGTTTTAGATGTGGCAGCTCTTCTGTGGGCAAAATTAAATGACTAACCTATTAAAACGTGGATGAACAACATGCATCTTTTTTCCAATGTCTGTTTAATACAGGTTTTCAACAACGAAAAAGACCATTAAAGTTAACTTTTAAGGTGTCCGTGTCCGCTTAATAGAGATGTCTGTTGAATATGGGTAATTTTTACGGTAAATCTGGGGGGGGGGGGGGGGGGGGNTTTACAGTAAATCTGGGAGGAGAAAAAGGGGACTTGTGCTGCTGTCCGCTTAATAGAGGGTGTCCGCTGTTAGGTTATTCCTCAGAATTGTGTTGCGCATCCCTACTGCACACAATTTTCTTGTCATTAGCGCATACTCGCGAGGGCGTGCATATACACAACATATTAAAAATGGTGGCTTATTCTAAATGGCTTGGCTTGATTATTAGTTGAGGAGCACATAAGCATTAGCCTCCTACGCAGACGTTCTTTTAAGGTTGAACCTTTAAGGTGTCCGCATCTGCTTAATAGATGTGGCTGTTAAATATGGGTAATTTTTACAGTAAATCTGGGAGGAGAAAAAGGGGACTTGTGCTGCTGTCCGCTTAATAGAGGGTGTCCGCTGTTAGGTTATTCCTCAGAATTGTGTTGCGCATCCCTACTGCGCATGATTTTCTTGTCATTAGCGCATGTTCGCAAGTGCATGCATATGTATACACAACATATTAAAAATGGTGGCTTATTCTAAATGGCTTGGCTTGATTATTAGTTAGGGACCACATAAGTGTTAGCCTCCTATGCAGACGTTCTTCGGGCTTGTCACACAATATTCCTTCCCCATGATTGTCTGCTGAAATGCAGGGTTATTCACTTAGCCCAATCACAGCGCACTTCCCAATCAAGGCAGCGAACTTTGGACCCAGAGAAATTTTTTCAAGAGACCTCAATAGATATGATTGTGGCCTTCAATGAGTATGTGGACATTAATGTCGTTTTAGATACCCTATCGGCAAGAAGCTATCAGTAGTCTAAGAGTATCGTGACAGATTTTCTGCTCAAAGTTCAAGCAATAAGTGGAAAAATTATTTACTAAAAATCTACTCATGGCACGGTAACTTTTGGAATACTATTTAAAACAGCTCACTTTAGTTCATTTCTCTAAGTGACCCCACGATTAAATTCTCAAGCATTCTTGAGAAAGTTAATGTCAAACCTCGTAAGAATGCTTAAAGCGTGCATTAAATTGTGTCTTGAACTAACACGAAACGTCTGTTTTAATTGAAATATGGATAACTGCTAGTTCAATTTTCTCTCGCAGGGTCTCAATATGTTCTTGTTAACTGTATTCAAAATATCATGCCATGAGGTTTCTTTTTTAACTCAATTTTTGCCATTATTGCTTGAATGGTCTGCGGAAATCATCTTAAATACAGAACTTGGACTAGTTTAGACCCGGGATTTGAACAGTTGCATATTTACTTTGAAAGTGTTCCCATTGATGTTACATGCAACAGTTTACATTGTAATTCCTGCCACGAGGGAGTATATAAATAACATTTTGTTTACATGATGATCCGGCACTCATTGGCTCTAAAGTAATTTCCATGTGAACTCCAGCTGATCTTTACAAACAAAAGGAGTGTACTGTTTGTTTCAGCAGATGTTCATGGGGAAGGAAGATTACGTGACAAGCCTAAAGAGCGTCTGCGTAGGATGCTATATAAGTGTCTGCAATTCTGTAATAATGGGAGTCCATAACAGTGTGGGTTGCTTCCACACATTTTTTTGTAGTTTTGGCCAGGGATGTAGCTTCTGTCTTTAATAGTGAAGTGTCGGTGTTAGCAGGGTGTCTGCAAGGCGAGAGTTGACTCTACATGTTGGGATGGTAATGCAAATGAGAAAACTAAACTATGAAATTAAGGGCTATTAGCTTATTGGCATACATATTATTTCTAGTGCTCATGAAAAGGACCATAGAACAACCACTTTTTTCAGGAGAGCTTTATTGAGGAAGGGTGTATTAATATTATTAATGGAATTTTATGGAATTTTATTTTCTTTGTAAAGCCTTTTTTGTGGACTTGTAAGAGACAACATTTCACACAAGTTTTGCACTTAGCATGGTTTTTGGCCAACCCCTTCAATTAAAAGTATGTGTGTAATTATGCATGCACGTAAATGCCTGAGATCTTGCACATACATGTACATGAAATACTGTGTATTTCCTATGCTGAAGTTTTTTATACAGTCAGTCAATGATATTTTTCCTGACCTAAACAACATCTAAAATTCAATGTGGAACATGGCAAACTGACAGCCCTACAGCAAGTCTGTGGTCTGAGAAAAATTACAAGGAACCCAAAAAATCCTAACCATGAAAACCTGGGTGCCCAGCACTTAAGTTTTTCCAGTTGCCCAAAGGCAAAAGTTAGTTCCCTGTGGCACGTGGGCACTTCTAAAGCACAGTCCTGCCCAAGTCTTTTCTCAGTTCTTTTTTAGGTTTGTGTAAGTCTACAAGTTTGTGTAGGTCTGCAAGGTCCAGCCAATTTCCAGGGTAAATCTAAGATGTCTCTTAGCAGGAGAAGAACTTAATAGTCCACAGAAAAAAAATATATATATATTCTTGGGCTCTTTTCTTTACCTTGTAAATGTTTTGTCTTCAATACAGATAATAAAGGAGATACAAAAGTTGAAGATCTAGAAGGAGACGATATGAAAGAGTAACTGGCAGAGGCTGACTTCAGGAGTTATCTTAAAAATGGCTTGCATGCTTGTCTGGTTGATAAACCGTTTTGATATGATGTGACAGAAAATATGTAGCCAAGATGTCAGCCTTCCCAATTCTTTTGTAATGATAATAATCTTTTTTCTCTGAGCTACTTGTAAAATTGTAGGTTGTTATTTTTTTCACAGTTAGTCTCACACCTAAAGTAAATATAACTTGTGTAAGAAACTTACATTCAAACACTTGTAGATGGATAGACACCCTTTATCAGTAGGTGGACACGAAGTTGTGGTCAAGCAAGGCAATGTAGTACTTTGTTCTGGTTCACAGAATGTTCACCAACCTGCGGTTCAGTTGTATGCAATTATTAAACTTTGCTTTACCTTGTGTCAATAGACCATTTTCGAGTTACCTTTCCCTCTATCTTAAAACAAGTCCTCATGCAAAACGTTTCATATGGAAAAAAGTTTGATTTAGAGAAAATAAACCTGTAGGGGAACGTATTTTCATACGAATGGTTTGGCATGAAGACTCGTTATGGCAGAGGCATAAGTCAACTCAGAAGTGGCCTGTTGTAGCAACGGTGGACAATCTGTTCGTTTGGAAAGATTTGTAAATTTTTCTTTTTTTTAACTGGAAATAGAATTTTTGATTTTATTGTTTTTGCTTTGCTAAGCAGAAATCAGTCGTGTTACATCAACTGATAATATTGAGTGTCTTTCTGTTGTATTGACTAGCCACTGTGCGTTCTTTGGGTTAGTGATTTTCAAACGCTTGCCATGATCGATGTAGTTAGTCAAAAACTGACCCCTGCTTTTGGGAGGCTCCTTTTTGGTGTACCCAACCCATCTTTCTTTGCATGCTGACTTCTTTAACTTTAGAAAATTTCCATACAGAGATTTTGTTGTCTCAGACCAGCTGTTACCTGCACACTAAAATGCAAGGAATAACTCATCACAGACAGTGTCCTGATGTCAGTAGAGGTCAGAGGTGGGGGGTGGAGGGAGAGGACTCCCAGATGAAAAGGTTGGGATGTTTGTCGTCTTGTTTAGGGGGATAAATCAAGGATTCTGGTCTCACTTAGGGTGTCGTGATGAAACGCCACTATTTTTAGCTGTCAAAGTATCTTTTAAGCTGCACGTGAAGAAACAATAATGAAAAAATGCACATATTTCCATTTATAGGCTAGATTGCCGCCAGTCTCTCGAGTCCGGTCTACAAAGTGCAAGCTCTTTTCCTGAACAGCAGCTGGTAATCGAGCCTATTCTGTTTTAAGTGGTATCTTTTAGGAGTCAAAGAGAGTTTGAGCCACACCAAGATTGGTCTCTTTTAGGTGTTTAATTCAAATATTCTGAGGAACATCCCCGACTTTTTCATATGGGAAACCCCCCCTCCCTCCCTCCAAACGGGGTAAAGGTGTATCATGAGTGTTACTTGTTGAGGTTGAAACTTAGGGGTACCCCAGTGGGAAGAATAAAGTGTGTGGAGAAAGATGAATTTTTATTCGAGTTATTCAAGACATCTCTCAGCTCTGTTGAAATTTTCCTGTTGTGTACATTATTTAGTTGAGCTCTTTTTCTGTGATGATTTTATTGTCTAACCAATACCCAAGGGTTATGTTCTTAGATATTGATTTCCAGTTGTAAGAATAATAAGAAAGTCATGATTGTCAGGCTTGAACACCTTGAAAGGGCTTGGGTGGGGGGGACTTAATTGAAGAGTGCTGTAACATTCTGAGAAGTATCAACCTGTGGTACTTTTGGGAGAGGGTCTCTGCATTAAAGGGGGCTGTCGCAACTTAAGGTTGGCTAAAACATGCTCGTGAAATGTGAAAGCAGGTCACTTGTTGAAAGGCATGTACATGAGAATAGAGTTGTGTGTTGTCGTAGAAAAAAGACAAATGTGAATCATAAAAACTGGTATTTTGTGTGTGATAGTTCGCAATGAACAGTGTTACTTTAATCTCTCG